AAAAAATCACTGAGTAAAGTAAACTAATAAGTCACCTGGTAGGAGCAGCTACTGCTGCACATCAGGGCCACTAACTGAAACGGCCTCAGTCGTGAGTAAATTTTCGATGTCGCCGCGTGATTTATCAGCAAATCATGCATGTAAGATGCACTGAAAACTGAATTACAGTTAACATGGATGCCAGTCCATCTTCATGCTTTACTCCTTACCTGAGATCTGGACAACTGAGCTGAGCCGTCCCTGTTTTACAAGTTTCTTTGAGCACAACCAGTTCTTTAAAGGAGCGATCGCCTTAATTTTAAAACAGAATATGGGAAAGAACATTTACAACATATACAACATTTTATACATCTTGTAGCATGCTATTTAAGAACTTAAGAAATGTACATATAATTGTATTATATAAATGAATATATACATGTATGTATTGGCCTATGTGTGTGTACAGTATGTATGTATATACACACCAACACACACACAGGCCTGTACTCCACGTTGCGGAAAACTAAAGACATGAATTAATTGTCCTATAATTTTTTTTATATCCATAGTATATTATTTCCAATAAAACGTGCATATCTGTTCCAATGAACATTTACTTGATGCGTATTTACATGATGTTTTTACATGATGATATTTACATGATGTTTTTACATGATGATATTTACATGATGTACATACGCATTATTTGTCAGGGAGTTCGCCTTCATGGCGCAACGACAGCTACACTGACCTTTCCTGGCGGTTTCAACATCCCAGCTGCTGAAAATAAGCTTCTAACTAATTAAGGTCGAGGGGCCGCCACAGCACTTTTGCAGAAAAAAACTTTTAGCAGTAATACGTCTATGTTCGAATTTGCCATTTTACAATTGGTGTTTTTTTGTGCAAATCGCTGTAAATAAGAAATACCCGGACTCTGTGATGAGCTCCAAAAATTAACACGGACTTTTAAAAATTGCGACACTGGAGCAATGTCAAAGGTACAAGAGAGTTTTGGAAAATCAGGCACCTGCAGTGTTTTTGATGTGATGCATGATCTATTCACAACCCACAACCACACCGTACCTCCTTCTCGGAAGTTTAGTTACTGAAATAACATCCGCGGCGATTGACACCCGCCTCCCCAACCACATGATCAGGTTACGGACGTGTAGGGAAGAGGGCTGATGGTAGGTCTTTATTATCTGCGATAAAGCGACGGAAAAACAAACTGGTGAGTAAGGATATGTAAATGAAAAACATTTGATTCATAGGAATGTAATTTAAGCAATGTCAAAGCCGAAAACGAATCTAGTGCATAAAATCCTTCATTATATTTTAAGTAATCGTTATTGGGGTATATATAGATATCTGGAAATTAATTTCAGAGTATAATATTATCTGATATAAATATGTAACAGCATAATAACCAATTAATAAAACACGTTTATTGACAATTTACGAACTATCTAGGACTAGGATTTTGGTGCTATTAAAGGTTTATTAATATGCAATCAATCATTCTCCATTCTGCTTCTGTGGACGAAGCGATTTAAATGCTCATTTAGGACATTAATAAGAAGGACCTGAAGAGTAACAACGTTTTTACTACGACAAATTACACAGCGGAAATGATTAAGACAGGAAAAAGACTCATCTGTTGAGTTGTTAATTGTACTGAAAATAACGGAACCTTTATTTTTGCGCGACGTCCTAAACGAAAATATAGTTAACTTTTAAATGCACATTGAGCGATATGTGCAATTAAAATGTGGAACTAAATGGCATACAGCACATATATCCAGTGTATCCACTATTCAGTAAATGTAAAATACGTTTCTGGGAATAAAACGGAATGTCTAATGATCAAACATTTTTAAATATATCATAATTATTTGTTTTTATAATAATCATGTAATACTACAGTGGAATCAGCTCCAGGGTGTACTATGCCTATATGCTTTTTATTGTTTGGGAAATGCTCGAGGACCCCGTCACCCTTCTTAGATTGTATGTATATACAATGATACATTGTATACTGCCATCTCGTCCAGGGTCTTGTGCCTTATAAGGTTCACCGAGACAAAGTGAAATTTGCCGCTGAAGTTTGCCGGGGTGGCGCCGGTGATTTCGTAAATCGGCGCCTCCACAAAAGATGGTCGCCTGTATGTCGCCTAATGGATTTACCGATTCTGCTTCCAGGAATACACTCCAAGCTTACTGCGAACAATGTACTGAATAAGCAGATACGTTTGTTTGACCGGAACAACTGTCAGGTAAAAATCTACATATTTCCTCAGGGAAAAGAAGAGGCTCATCGCCATGGCCGCGTCTGAAATTGTAGAAGAGTCTGAGGCGACAGAGCCACTGTTTAAGCAGTACAAAGCAAATGAGGTCCTCGAGATCAAGAAGCCTCGTTTGCACAACCTGCTAGAGAAACAGCCCATGTCTATGGGGGTAAGATTATCACTTTGGTTCACTAATTATAATAATTACTCGGTATCTTGTTCGCTATATAATTTTTAAAATTCGGTTTTATCGAGAGTCGTTCCAATACAATAAAATGTATTGTCACCCTAAGCATTGATGCAGTTATATTCTATTTGGAAACCGAATTTTGTGAGGTTCTCCAACTGATAAAGGGTTCGGTAAAGGTTGAAAAGCTGAAACCGACTGAAAGCTTATACTTAGTAAAATTCCCATTAGAATATAAATCAGAATTAATAAGGGAAATATGCCAATTTTTACAAGTCAGCATAAGGAGTATCCACGTTGTGGGCGAGGAAATGTACTGACTATTAGGTACAACATAGGAAAGGACTGTCCTGACGTTAGACGTCTAAAACCTTTCGCGGATGGAGCTGTTTGTTCAATTACAAAAGCAAAAACTATTAATTAAATTAACCATGTGAATTGGGCAGCCTCTAGTGCTGATCTGAACTTGGTGGAGGCTTATTTAGAGATTTGCAATATGTTTTCTGTTATGATTTGATTTTAAGTCTCCGATATATAGTTTGTAAAATTTTCACTATAGGCTTTTCAGACTATATGCGGCATCACGATTTTTGGACTTGGGATTGTAACAGCTACTTCGCAAGTGGTGACTTTGGGAATCCTGCTCAGAGTGGCAATTCTCACCGGGATTCTGGTAGGATGCATGTCTGAATCCACCACGAGCTTATTTGAATATATTACGGAGCCCTGGAGGGGACACGAACAGTTTTCTTTAAAAAA